AAAAAAAGTCATCTCAGAAGATACTCAGGTTCGTAAGAAAATTTTTGTTCAAGTTCCGGATAGAGTGCTCTTGCTAAAGATGTGTGTAATGGAAACACTCTGTATCTGCTACCGGAGAAAAGCTTTGAGAATCATGGTTCAATATATCGAGCTTCGTATTCAGTTGTTATGATTGGTGATACTTTTCTTTCTCTTCGTTTTATTATTTGTTTTCAACAGTGGCAGATGATGCAAAGTAAACAAAAACTGTAGCCATGTGTGAAGTTGAGTTTTAAAGACCTTGTTATTATGAGGAAATGTTGTACACATGTGCATTCTACTTCATTTTGTACTCTTAGAGAAAAAATCTTGCAATTGTATTCTTGTACTATCTAAGTCTTGCCTAGACTGCTATTTATGAGAGGAGGTTTACATTTGAATAGCTGTTTCGTTTGGTGGAGGCCTTACTTTCCTGTGTTTTCTATTTAGTGCTGTTAGAAGAGAATTAGACTAATATAAAGCAATGTAGTTTTTTTTTTTTTTTAATAATGTACGTTCATGTGAGCCTAATCGAACGGATGAGTGGCCGTGGTTGGAATCTGGAAAAGATAGAGAAGCGTATAATTGCTTACAGGTACGCCTTCTTTTCATGTAATCCGAGCAGTTTGTGATTTATCCTGACTTTTTTGTTCTTTTGGCACGTTATTTGTGCATTCAAATTCAAACACAGACAATGTGACTTCTCTCCCGAAAGGGTAGTTCTTGTAAATATCCACTGATTATACTACCCAATTGTAACATGTCAAGAGAGTGTGTTTGTTTTTGCAGTATTCTTAAGTGTTACCGGTATTTGCTGATCTTGTGCTTGTAAACCGGTGGCGGATGCTAATCGAGATTTCACGATTGAGTTTGAGACGGCACAATCGTTGCTGGAGAGCTGTTGAAGAGGAACATTTTGAATCTGTACGATATTCTTTGGCCCGTCGATTAACTTGGATTCCCTGATAGATGACGTTGTTATGTTATTTAAGCGTGACGTGTTCGGAAGAGATTGGGCCATGATGACTTCGGACATATTTGGGTATGAATGTTTATTATTTTCTTGATTAAAGTTGACTGATGTTTGTCAATGGTTATTATGTTTCTGTCGTTTTTATGTACAGCCCAGGATCTGAATGCAATTTTTTTTTTTAATTCTTTTCTTTTATATATATATATATATATATTTTTTGTATTAAATAAACCTCTTTCTGAAGTGAATTTGGATATTTAATTTAATAATTGATAATGACGTAATGTATGTAATGGAGTATAAGCTAGATGCAAGGGTGAGAGGACAATATCTAGCTGTATGAATATTCTAGGATTTTTTTTTTCCTTTAAAAACTTTTTTTAAAAAGAGGACCAATAGTGTAATACTTTCCTTCTGCGGGGATTTGAACTCATGACCTATCGATCGTAGGTGAAGTGTTTTACCACTTAACAATGCTTGAGCTCGTTTATCACTAATAATGAGCATAGTTTGAACTTTAACAAGTCGAATTTTAAAAAAATATATAAAAAATTTCAAGTCGAATTAAACTCGAGTCTTAACGAGCTCGAGTCATACCATACTCGAGTCATTCCGAAAGCAATTTCACAGCGCACACTCTTTATTCAATGAAATTAAAACAGAAAAAAAAAACGTGCCCTTTACCATATTTTTCAAACACACAAACATAGAAAACAAAAACAAGACATAAAATATCTTCGGTCTCATCAATTATTTGATTTAAATCATTTGATCTCACTTTTTTTCTTTTTTGTATTTTTTTTTCAAGAAAAAGACAAACCGTCCTACCCATAATAGTGCCCTTCCCTCTTTATATCTCTACTATACATATAACCCAAGAACATTGGACAATTGTGGGCTTGACACATGTCCTTTTGTGACAAAAATGTCCTTCCTTTGTTATGTATTTACAAGTTTGCCATTGAGTTATTTTATTGTTAAATGTCCGACACCGCACGTCTGCTCCTCCGAAAAGCCCAAAATTAGGGAAGACGTTTCCTCCAAAAAGACACTTCACCCAAGATTTCGCCCCAACTTTTACAGAAATCTGGCGCAGATTGTCAGATAAAATCTCTCTCTTTTTACAAATCCTACCCAACCCAAGCAATTACCCTTTCCTGAGCAGCGGCAATCAAGAAGCAGCGGCGATGGGCTCGGCGGATCCGGCGGTACCTTTACCGCAGCCGCCGACGGCTGCGACGGCGTCTTCCTCATGGCCACGGCGTTGGACTTCGAGGGGAGAGAGAGAGAGAGAGAGAGAGAGAGAGAGAG